TGCCCATGGATTTCAGAATATTAATTTGTCATCCATAAAAAATTATGATTAAAATAAAAAAAATGAAGATTTTGCTGATATTTTTGACCAGGATCAACAAAAAAGCTCAGAAGATGAAGGTACTTTGACAAAAGAAAATGCCCTTGTTTAACTAAAATTAATATTAATGCATTATACAGTACTTTTAATTGTGATTGTTAGTTAATTGTTGATTGGAGATAAATTATTGATTACGGTAATAAAAATATTTCTCTTTGTAACAAAAAAAAATAGTATACAGAGGAAACTTCGCATAACAACCAAAACAAATTGTAAAAAATTGACTTGCTTAATGAGTGATGTTTTGTATAATGAGTGATAAGAAGAGGGGGGAAATCCCGGATTGTGCACATGCTCCATCAGTCTGTGTTTAGCACTCACTTCGCTAGCATCTTAGTGTCGCTGGTGATTGCACATTTTTCCAAACTTGTGTTCACACATATTACATATAAACATCGACAATCATAGCTTATTACATAATAAACACGCCATCTCATACAAATAAGATCACAGCGTAGCAATCACTCTATTATTTATAATTATTAAATTTAATATGAGATGGCAGCATAACTGCCTGCCTCTAGTCAAATTAATTAATTTCTAATATTTAATTATAGCCTTTACATAGCCCAAGAATTTAGCATATCATTTGGCATGTTTATCAGACATATTATCTGTGATTTTTTTTGTTTTCTACAAATCGAATTTGCATTCCAGGTTGGTTCATTCCATGATAGAAGAAAAGATGATGATTCACGCTTCTTAAAAATGTATATTGTGTAATTTTCTTTGAATAAACGTTATACATAAGAGGCGTGTTTTTTTAGTAAGTACCATTTTGATTTAAAAAAAACAGAAGTGCAATTTTTTAAACAATTTTATTCTTACATGAAATCCTGTACCTTAATCTACTTTTCAACATAATTTTCTTGAATATTAAGGCACTTATATCGTACAACCAGCTTCTGAATTCCATCCTCATAGAAACCTGCTGCCTGATTTGCCAGCACGGCCATTTTGACATCATTATCATTTTCACAGTACTGACCGCTTAGATGCTTTTTTCAAGTGGAGGAACAAGTGGTAGTCACTAGGTGCTATACAGAGGGTGATCAAGTTGTTCCCAGCCATATGATGTGATAAGGTCTTGGGTTCGTTGGGCCACATGCAGACAAGCATTGTCATGAAGCAAAACAATCTCCTTACTGAGCTTGCCACGCCTTTTGTTTTGGATTGCATGACGCAGTCAAGGTCTCACAATATGTCTCGGCATTTATTGTGTCACTGCAAGGCAAAAATCCACCAGCAACATCCCCTGCCTATCCCAAAACACACTGGCAACAGTAACAGTAACAGTAAACAGTAACAGAAAATGTAACAATTTCAGCCTGCAAAATCATGTACAGTACATGATTTTGCAGGCTGAAATTGTTAGCTTGAACTTGACTTTCTCGGGTGATGTTAAATGCCTCCATTCCATGGATTGCTGTTTGGATTCTGGTGTAACATGAGCAACCCATGTTTCATCACCAGTGACAATTTGGCCTAAAAACTCATCACCTTCATCACTATACCACTTGAGGAAAGTCAAAGCATTGGCTAAACGTTTGGTTTTGTGCTCCTCTGTCATCATCTTGGGTACCCATCATGAGCACAACTTCCAATAATTTAAGTGTTTTGTCACAATTTCATAAAGAACACTCCTTGAAATTTGAGAAAAGTTATCATAAGATAATGACGAAATCATAAAACGTCTGTTTTCTCGAACTTAGGCTTCAACTCTCTACACCAAGTCTTCAGTAATGACAGAAAGTTGCCTACTACGTTCCTCGTCATGGACATTAGTGTGGCCATCTTTAAATGCTCTAACCCATTTTCTTACCATTCCATCGCTCATAATGTTTTTTCCATGCACCTCACTAATCTGCCGATGAATGTCAGCCACTTTTACGTCTTTTGCATTCAAAAAATGAATCACTACACGTACTTCACAATCAGTGGGATTTTCAATTGTCTGAGGCATTTTAAACACTTCCATAATGATGTCTGTGGATAGCCAACAGATGTAGGTACGTGTACTCAGTGTGCATTAGCGGAACACTGACTGCAGCGCTGCAGCAGCTCTATTTTAAAATGGTACTTACTTAAAAAGCACGCCTTGTAAAATATTTGAGTATTTTTTCGGCATGGAACACATTATCATATTTTACATTAATTTCTATGAGAAAAACTTTTGCATTACGAGTAAGATTCTGGAACGAATTATGCTCATTAAGCGAGGTTCCACTGTACTTTTGTTAACTTCTGGAACATAACCCTATGTTTTGCATTCATCCTTTGTTTCAATAATTTGGCTGAACATTGGAGCACTTTTGAGCAATGTTATGAAGAAACTTTAAAACACAAACCTCAAATCCTTTTTCTATGATGATGCTCGATTTATTATCATAGTGACATTGCTTCATTCAGACTTCCTGTAGTTATAGTCTGTGAAATGTGCTCTTTATTCTTGTGTTGAGTGTTATTGTCAAATCTGTTTCCAGTTTCCTTATGCCACAACTTTTAAAAGTTTTCTTTATTTAGATGTTTTCATAGAGCATTAGTTTTCAACCTGCTTCCACCAGTTTTTTATGGAATTTCAAGTATTTTTCAATCATCAATAACTTCACAATAGAATAGTTTTCATGATAATTCTACATTCACCTGACAGACATGTGATAACTTTCAGTAAGTCATATTACATGATAACTGATTGACAATAATATGTCAAAATTTAAAAAAATGGGATATTATAGATACTCAGTATTTTTAAATAAAACTTCCAAAAGAGCAAACAGGAGGCAGTCAGCTTTCAAATGTGCTATCAAACATATGCAGACTCCTAGATTGTTCAGTAGCTTGGTGTTGCTATTCTCTCTTGTAAATCTAGGCAACAAAATGCTGTTCGTGTCCACTTTAAATTTTGAAATCCAACAGATTTTAAATTTAAGATGTCCATAGTACTCACCAAGGACACTAACTATTTTAAATTTCATGCAAATTGGTTCATTGGTCATGGAGATATTAAGGGTCAAAGTCGACACTTTTAACAATATACAGTAATACCTCGACTTACGCTAACCCGGAGTTACGCAATTTTCAAATCTCGTAGATTTGTCTTTTGTTTGAGCGCCACGCAACTCTTGATTACTCATTCCCCCCACACTATTATTCAGCTTACATGTTCGGATGTGTCGCGCGGAATCGACACATAGCTACAATTTATTTTGTGTTATTTATTTCTGTGTTTGTTATATCTACAGAGACTCGAGAGACTCTGTGTGGTGATTTATTGTAACCATAAACGAATCAAAAGACGAGATAAGATTAACAAGAACATTTATTAGCTTACATACCTCCAACTTGGATTTTACACAAATTGCGAAGTTATACCCTGACTTACGCGAATTCGACTTACGCGGTTATCTCTCGGTCCCACCTATCGCGTAAGTTTGGGGTATTACTGTATATTTGGCAGAGCTTTGTTATACAGCACTACCAGGGCATTTCATATGATAAAGCTACAAAATATAAAGTTCATTGTATATTTAACTTACCTAAGAAACATTAATATACCCAAAAGAAAATTATATTAAATTATACATAAACTTAAATAATAATATAATCTTCAAATCCAGCAGATATTTTTATTAAACGATTGTTTTTTGGCTTCAAAACTATCCTTAAGTTAATAACAGCATAGTCAAAATACAGAATTTAGTTTATAAACATTCTTTATAAGTTAAATTCTACATTTTGAATGTGTTTTGTTTCATGTTAAATTGTTAACATGGAGATGGATTTAAAGAAGCCAAAAATATTAATTTAATGAAGATACTTGCTGGTTTTGAACATTAGTTTTACAGTGGTGCCTCATATAACGGACGCTGTGAACAACGGACTTTCTGTAAACAAGTGTGAATGATGTTTCCACCCTTTTGCCATTGCCAATGATGATCTGCTATTTTTATAATATATTAGTATTATTAGAATATATTATTAGTATATCTGAAGTACAGCGCTCCTGTTGGGATTCGGCTTGCTCCCTTGTTTATTACATACATTGCCTCAGTGCAGGGTATTTACATTTATTCAAGTGTTTTGCAAATCATGGCTTCTCTAAAAGCAGAAAGGTAATTTCAATTTAAACAAAGCAAGAAATCATCAGAAGGAGTGAAAGTTGACAAAAACTTCCTTGTCAAATGGAAAGAGGTTCAGGAGTTTACTAACACTCATTATCCAAACAGAACTGAGGCTAACAGGATCAATGATCTCTACAATGATACCCTTGCCTGTCATTTCCGACAGGTGTTGAAGTAGAGAGAGAAACAGACCACCTTGGACATGTTTTTCAAGAAGCCAGCTGCCAAAAAACAAAGGATGGAACAAGAGGAATTGACTCTGCAAACTCCGGTAGCCTCTCCTGAATCTGACTCCGATTAAAAAACAATAAAAAGAGACCTGCTGCAATGTGTAAAAAGTCTGTATCTGTATGAATGTGTGAAGAAAGTGTTCCTCCACCTCCTCCTCACAACATCTGACTACCCAGAATAATTGGTGACTACTCCATTTTCATTTTTTTTTTTTTATGGTACAGTATGGTTATTTTATGCTGCAGAACGAATTATATGTTTTAACATGTATTTCTATGAGAAAATGCATTTCGTATAACAGACTTTTCACTTAACAGACATGAATCTGGAATGGATTAAGTACATTATACGAGGCACCACTGTATTTTTAAAATCACAATTTATTGTGATTGTAAATAATAAGATTTTTTTTAACTTTAAGTAAATTTTATGAAAACAAATTTTGTAAGATGAAACACTATTTCTGTTTCAACAACCAAGTTTTGTATTTACAATTAATGTATTTGTAAATTTTATATATTACCATGCTAATAAAGTAAATATTTACAGATTGAAGAAGAACCACCACCTGGTAAAAAAGTTCCAGCTAATAAATTTCCAATTCTTTTCTTTGGAACTTATGAGACGTAAGTATAATCATACTTGAGTTTATTAATTAATAAGCAGCATATATTAAGTGGCCTCCTCCTCCTTTATTTTATTAATGTTTATTCTTGTTTCTTTGAATGAATTTAATAAGATATATTTTGAAAGCTTACGTTTTTATAAATATTGAATATATATTATTTATGTCAATTTAGTAAAAATTTAAAAAATAGAAATTGTATTCTGATTTTTCAGAATACAATTTGTGAAATGAATATTGTTATGAAATGTTACACAGATTTAATTTTAATATTATAATTCATTATGCAATATTTCTCTTGAATATTAATATCAAAAACTTTTTGTAATGAAATTTTTGAAGTATGATAAGGATGAAGGATTATGCTGTTACAGTTCTGGACAAGAAGAAAAAATTGCAAATGTGTTTTTTAATTAATTCCATTTACTCAAAAAGACATTACATTTAAAAGGAGCCTAATTTTATTTGCCTTATACCATTATGTTTTGGCAATTATAAAATGGCCCTCCTCAGATTTATATTAAAGATGTCACTAAATTAAAATAGTTTAAACACTAAATGTTAATATGTGATTATTTCTTTGTAAATTTTAAAATTATATTGTAAATTGATTTTAATGTAGTGATATCTTTCAATATATTTATGAGGAGGACCATTTTTTTAATGACTGAAACATTTAATGGTATAAGGCAGGGATGTCCGGCCCATAAGCCGCACCCTAAATTTTTTAGGTACATTTTCGTTTATTTTGGTAAAGTATGTCGTAAAAATTATTCTTGTTTCATTGGATACACTTTTGATGTCGTAATGATATAATTGGTGACATAATTTGTAATTGACCAATCAAAAAAGTTGGTGGTGTGGTCTGTCATTTTGATTGTTTGTTTCAAAGATTTTTGTAATGAAGTGATGTTAGTGATAAAGAATGGTACCTTTCATCAGGCAGATGAAAAAGACACGTAATCCCTCTTTTCAAAAGAGTGTCAGACATTTTTAGTGACTTGAGGGTAAACCTAATGCCAAAGTGGAAGAGGCTAATTTATTCCTTATTTCTATAAAGAATAAATTAGCCTCTTCCACTTTGGCATTCTTTCTAATTACAGGTATATAATACAGACATAAGACTACAGTATATATTTCTTTTGTTAACATAATAATTTAAATATATTTAATTTTATCAACGTCCTTCAAATTATTTAAATATTATAAAATTATATAAATATATTTAACATAATAATTTAAATATATATAAATTAGCCTCTTCCACTTTGGCATTCTTTCTAATTACAGGTATATAATACAGATATAAGACTATATATTTCTTTTGCTAACATAATAATTTAAATATTTTCAACCTCCAATTATATTCGTAATTATTTCATCAACTTTAAATTTATATATCCAGAATTTGGTAATGATATCTAATACTAAGAAAATAAAAATAACAGAAGAAAACAAAAAATTAAATATCTTTTGGCTAGAAAAATATTTCGTTATTGAAACATGCAATAATATTATCTGCCTTATTTGTCATGATACAATTGTCGTGTGAAATTCTATATTTTCAGAGTTTTCCCGTAGACTTTTCACATAATTTACTATATTTTTCTGTTTTGTTTAAAGATATAAGAACCAGATTTTCTGACTTCAGAAAAATAGAAATTGAATTAAAATTGTTTAGTGATCCATTTTTATTTAATTATGTGGAAGCACCAGCCAAATACCAGCTAAAACTCACTGAACTTCAAAGCAAGAAATCTTTGAAAACTTATCATAGGGAACATTCCATTCTTGAATTTTATAAAGTTCATTCTTTCGATGAATTTGATGAAATTGTCAATTTATCTATTGATAGAAAACTGTTATGCATGTTGAGTAGTACATACTGTTGTGTAAACAATTCTTTTTGTGCATGAAAAACATCGAAACTGCTGAAAGAAATAGGTCAAGTGATTCCCATTTAACTAACATTCTTACAATTGAGACTAGTACCATAAAAGCAGATATTAACAATATTGTAAAAGGAAGGCAATTTTTGAAAATGTTAAGAATTATTTGTTTGTATCTTGTGAATACACTTAATACTTAAAGGATATTTTTTAACAACTGATTTTTATATGCTTTGTTTATACAATGATAATTTAAGTTCTGTAATGTTATATAAAATTTATAAATTTTTCTGTTATTCATTAAACATGTTAACATAGTTTTACTTATTTAAGATATATCAATTATTATCTATTTACATTATGTATAACAATGTTTGTATTAATAATGTTGCTAAGAGTTCTGTAACCCCTTTGTAAAGATGAAAGCCATAAGCCATAACAAATAAATGATTGATTGATGGATGACATTTACTTATATTGAAGTTACACTCATACATGTACTGTACAATTTCATTCATTCCAACAACTTTTTTTTGGTGTGCTAATTTTTGTGGCAATGAGTGTATATGAAAAACTGACATCTGTTTATCACACTGACATGTACATTTATCCATTCTTCATATGTGCCACTTACTTGCCAAGTTGATTAACTACATTAAAAAAAATGGAGAAAAGTGACAAAATAATATACATTCTTTTTTAAAATCTTTTAAAATATAAATTCAAATAAACATTGTAGAATGTTTTTTTAAAAACAATCAGGTGATGGTCCTTCTGCTTGGCATATATTCTGTTCTATCTCTGTAGAATGTATTATTGTAGATGTAGATGTAGATGTAGATATATAAGATAACATAGATATGCTATAATTGTTATTATTATTACGATGTTGGTGTGATTGAGGGAATTAATTGATTTGGCAAGTGAAAAAAGTAATAACATCAAATTCAGTCTTCACATAGTTTTTTATTATAGAGAAACTTCATTATTGTACGTTTTTTATTAAAGATTTTTTGCAAAAATGAATAATAACTGTTCTGTTGATGTTACAATGGTTGTTGTTATTATTTTGTTTAAATTGATTATTCAGCAATGTAAATGACGTCTTCTTTATCAGCTTTATCTTTCTTTATTTGAGGTCCCATCATGTCAATTTGTTCTTAAATTTTTATAAGAATCATGTTTAATAGGAGGATTGAAACAAATTATTTTTAGTTTCATCCATCTTGATGTAACAGTAACTTTTCTTTTTTCTAAAAACAATTGCCACCAAAATGAAAACAATCATTCAATAATTCACAAGTACTCGTATACTTACTTCTGTGGCAGTTGGACTGTAACTAACTAATTTCTTTTACTTACTTTTTGTGATGAAATAACATCAAATATTGATAATTTACCATTATCTACAAGGCACTGGTCAGTGCACACTGTGATTGCAATGCTACAGTGTATGCTGGCGGAATCACATTACAGTAAGAAGTTAATTAGATTGGCTTCTGAAATAAATAACATTTTTTTTTTATGACAATAAAATTTTGTCATTAAGTGTATTGATTCTTATTATTGGGGAACTTATTATGAATATAAAAAGTTACAAATATATCAAGTGCTTTGACACTAAAAGTTAAAAAAATTTGAAATGCAGAGTTAATCAATTTGGCTTGTGAATGGCTCATACTTGTTATATAGAAAATTAGTCTCAGCTGTAATGAATGTGATTTGAAAATATATATATAATAGATGAAGGGAAAAAAATTATACAGTCAAACCTATCTATAATAGAACCTGTATATAGTGAAAACCTGTCATTAATGGAAAATTTCTTCTATCCCTTGAATTTTCTGCAAAAACAATGTAAATTAACCTGTGTACAGCAGAACCTGTCCAATGTGGAAACAAAAAGGAAAATTGGGTTGTATAATGAAAAATTTGGCATCCTCTTCCATGCTTAATGACACATACCTTGTTTTACTTAACACATATATGTGATTTACTTATAGCAGTTGTGAAATTTAACACATTATTGTTGATATGAGATTGTATTCTTTATTTACAAGCTTATTTTAAACTTTTTACATCACATTTTGTTTGATGATCTGCAGATAAAATACATAGCAGTCATATTATACTTTCAAAGTTTTGTAATGCTATACAAACATTATGTAGTGTGTATGGGGAAGATGCTCTTAAACTTCAAATGTATCAAATATGGCTTTGAAAGTTTTATTCAGAAATTTTGAACTAAAGGATGCAAAATGTACGGGTTATCCAAAAACTGTCAACAAAGAAAAATTGCAGGTAGAAATTGTTAAAAATAGATGAATAACAACTCATGAACTTCCAACAAATCTTAGTGTATCACAGACATGTATTGTTGAAACACTTTACTTGAAATAGTTTTAAAACATGATGATGATTGTGCGTCCTCATGCATTAAGTGGGGAGAAACGAACTGGATCAAATATAATTTTGTCTGATTAGACAGCTCTAATGCTTCATTTTATTTTTAAGTTAGTTACTCATTTTTATCATAGAAAACTTTTTATTTAGGACAAAATTAAAATAAAAATATTTATCATTAAATGAAAATTTGTTCTAGCAATTAGTGATTGTTTGGTTGACTACATGTGGTTTTAATATACTGGTATGAGGTAGCATCAAGGAATTAATTATTCATATTAATCAAGGGATGCCCTAGTAGATAACCTGTATATAGTGAAAACCTATCTACTATGAAAGAATTACTTGCTCCTGTGGGATTCTATTGTATACAGGTTTGACTTTACCTTGATATACATGATAACTACACATGGTATCAAGGTATTTTCAGAAATGTTTTTTCTTGTATTATCTGTTATTACCCTCATTATCCTTTGAATTTAGATTCCTAAATTTCCAATCCTAACAAACTAACAAAGTTTAATGGTCAAATATATTGTTTTTAACAAAATAAATAAAATAAATAATCACATTTTAAATAATTACTTCAATGATCTTAAGTCATTTTAGTTATTAGTTTTACAAAAGTTAAATTTTCATCATTAATAAATTATGAGACCACCATGAAAACAAAAATTGAGAAGTAACTTATTTTTTGATTAATAGTTGATTGTTGTTCCATTTCTTTGTATCACTTCAAATAGTCTGTTTGGCATTGATACCACCAGATTTTTTAATAGGTCATTGTCTTATTCCATTGGTGCATAATTTCACATTCAAGTTCTTGAACACTTGAAAATTGGCAAGTTTGATATTGAAATCACCCACATATTTTTATTATATAGAATCCAAACAATTAGATATTTATATTTATAAACTTTTTTCAGTCTTATTAGCTTTTAATTTTTGACAAAGTTTTTCAATAGAGATAAAATCAAATGCATTTTGTAAATCCAAAAATGCTGTGTAGACCTTTTGCTGTTTTCCAGACAATTGTATCTTAATCAAAGTTTTTAATGCTAAGATGAGCAATAATCTCACTATTCTTAAGGAATGCAAATTAGTATGGTGACTATTTTTTTTTTTCCTATCCATCAGCAGAATCTTTTAACTAATACAGCTGTAATTAATAATCTTAAAACAGTTAGAACAACAATGGATCATTAATTAGCTGGATTTGATTTTTCATGTTTTTTTACAGCATCTGAAATAAAGCAAAATTTCACATCTTTAGAAGTTCATTTGTGGTAGATTGAACTGTATCTTTCTGTTAATAATTCATTTGCATTTTCTGGTAGTTTTTTAAAACTTTAAACTTAGAACAAACTCTTTAAATTTGAGTTAAATTCAAATTTAAAGAGATAGCACTAGAGCAGGGTTTCTTAAACTTTTTTATTCACGACCCCATTTATGATTGTGATTTTTTCGTGACCCAAAAAAATATAAAATAAAGATATATACAAATTTGCAAAAACAATAATGGTGTACTACGACAGTTCACTCTTGTTGTTGTTGTTCACTCTTGTGTTAAAATGGAACAGAGACAACTGAATATACTGAAAAGTGACAACACTACACTAGTTCACACTACAATCAGTGTTGCTGAATCATTGTCTCGCTGCACCAGAAGTAACACAAAATGCAACTCACGAAACCTATGACACAAAGCATGCCATTTTCAAACTCCCACAAATTATTTTCAATATTTTGCATTAAAATCTCGCAACCCCAAGATTTTGCTAAGCGACCCCAAATGGGGTCACGACCCATAGTTTAAGAAGCCCTGCACTAGAGAATTACACTCTATTTCACACTTCACAACATACATCGAAACAAACCAAATAACATATAAGGTGAGGCATTTTCTGTAGAGATTTTCCAAGTCCTCTCTGGTTCTGTCTGCCATTGAACCCTCTGATCAATAGATTAAGTAACACTAAGTATGGATACAGCATTACACACAACAGAATCTTTACATGAAGAAATGACACATGACAAATGAACACTTCACATAGAAAAAGAAATTCCAAAAAAAGATGATTTTGTACTTTGTAATGGAGATGTCATTGAATCCATGCATGAGAGCAAAGTATACAAATATTTAGGATTCTAATAGGCAAATTTACAGAACATGCATAAATACAACAATAGATTAGATTCAATACTAACAACATAGTTCAATGAAAAATGCACATTTAAAGCAGTTAACATATATTGTTTCAGTACTTACAAATTTATTTGAAATCATATTGGACACACACAGAACTATTGGGAAAATAAGTTCATTTTTTTTCCATTGAAAAAAAATGAACTTTTTCCCAATAGTTCCAAATATTTATTTATAATAAATAAATATTTTATTGAACTATATATCAACCATTTTGGTCAAATACCTGTTATCATTTCTGGTAGTAGCATGATTTCACATTTCTAAAAGTTTTGATCGTTGCTTATAAAAAAACTGATTCAAGTGATTTTTGACATTGTTATTTCAAGTAAATGTCTTACAGTTAAAAAAATTTGTATAGACTGGAGCATGTAATAATCTGAGTGTGCTCGATCTGGCGAATATGGTTGGTGCGATAGCACATCTTATCTAAGTTATAACAGTTTCTGACGAGTTACCAAACTTGTGTGAAATTTGACATTATCGTAGTAAAATACTACACCTGTTTTGTTGATCAATTCTGGCCACCTTTTCTGTTTGATGATATTACTCAATTTGTTTACTTAATGGCAGTACACTTTCGAATCAATTGTTAAATTGTCTGGTAAAAGCTCCAAAAAAAAATTTCCTTAAAATCCCACCAAAGAGAACTCTAAGAACAAAATCTCTCTAAGAACATGCAAAACCCATATATCGAGCTTTGAAACGAAACCAATTTGTTTCAAGTAATCATAAACAGTTTAATTTGACAAATTTAATCTCTTAGTGATTTCACGTGTCGTTATTTGGCAGTTTGCTTCAATCAGTACCTTTATTTTGTTTTCATTGGTTTCAACTGGCCATCCAGAATGTGGTGCATCTTCAATATTGAAATTGCCAGAACGAAATTTTGTAAACCAGTTTTGGCACTGTCGTTGTCATTACATCTTCTCCATACACGTCACACAATTTTTTTCTCACATGAACAGCATTTTTACCTTTTTGGTAATAAAAGAGCAAAATATGCTGAAAATGCTGCTTTCGATCTTCCATATTTGATGAGACACAAAAAATAAACAATTGTACAAAATCAAACAAAATTTATTACAAATAAGCCTTAAAATGGTAGGTGTCAAAATATATAATGAAAATATGGTTTAGAATGAAAATGGCAGGAAAAATTGTCTAGTGGTAAAAAAAACGAACTTACTTTCCGAACAACCTAATAGAAAAACTCCAAAGGAAACATAAACATTAACAAAACGTAACAAGCATGATCTATGTTCTCTGTAGAAAGGCTAACTCTTCTTTGTAAAGATGAAAGATGAGGCCCTACAGATATTTTAAATTTTCACTACAAACAAATACACACAGACTCTCTGAGAATTTTTCTATTGAAAAAAAAAAAAAAAAAACAAGAAACATCATAATAACACAAAACTGTAACTCTTGCGGATAAAAAGAATTCACCTACCATTAAACCCTATCTAACACCAATCTGGATCTAATACAGTATACAAAATTCATAAACACTATCAGGCAGCCTAAAATATTTTATTTTCACTAAGTCAACAATTGCTAATTATTTAAAATATAAGGATTGTTGATTTAAAGACATCTGATAAAAAAAATTTTTTTTGTTGCTAGATAATTTCCTTTTTAAGGTTTTCTCTTGCTTTCCTTGCTAGACAAATAAAAACTGATTATTGTTTACAATCATGGATACATCTATTTTCTAACTTTTTCAATTGCTAAATTCTTTATTTCATATTAATGGGTTTTCCTACTAATCAATATAAAAGTTATTTATAAGATAAACATTTTTTTTTTATATTTGACCTTATATAATATTTTTATAAATTTTTTTAGAGCTTTTTTAGCGACAAAAGACTTATTTCCTTATGAACAAAACAAAGAAAAATTTGGAAAACCACAAAAGAGAAAATTTTTTAATGATGGATTATGGGAAATAGAAAATAATCCTACTGCAAAAGCACCTAATCAAGCTGTAAGTAATATATATATAATACATAAGTTACAAATGAGAAACTTAATTATTTAGTAATGGTTATATATAAAACATGTATTATATATTTTATACATAGTTTTGAACATAATTAACAGCATATTCTATCTTTCTTTAGCTGTATATATTGTTTTTACAGATAAACATCATTAAGAAGTGATATTTTGAGAACTCTATTTAATTATTATTCAAGCACTTACATACTATATTCAATATATTAATACTTGTTCAAGTTCTATAGTTTTTAATAATTATTAAATTTTGCAATATTTTAGACAGTTGATATTGTTTGTGTTTTTATTTTATTTAATTTATATAATAAATATAATGGTTTATAATTTTTGCCCACTTTCATAGAAATATCTCATTTACCATGATATATTAATATTTATAGTAACAATTTAAAATATAGCACAAGTAGAATGTTACAGATGTGAATGTTTTTATAGCTATCTTACGTAATATAATTTTTTAATCTGAAATTATTTCTTCTTCAATTAAGGTGAGATCACTTTACTAATTTAAAAAAATTTACATCTAAAATGTGATTCAACAATTTTTCTATTAATCTATTCATGGTTTAACAACTGTACTCCAAGAACTGCTATGGATCAGCCAAAATGTTCTTAAAATATAGTTTTAATTAATTAATTTAAATCTAATTAATTTTTAGAGTAATTACACAACCAATACACTACTTTTACAAAAAAATTATGAATTTATTGTTAGAGCTGACCACTTGCAATCAATTATGGGAAAGTCTGTAAGAACTAATTTGGGTGGGATTTGGGAGATATAATATGTTATACTTTTGCTTAAATTTTGTAAAAATGAATTGACTTATGATGGACCTTATTTTATGAATTTTTCCAAATTAAGTACATCAACAGTAACTTAAAGAAACAATTCTTATTTCTTTGATGAACCAGAAAACAGGAAATAGTTTTGATTGTTACATCTATTTTACAGAGTCAAGCAGAAATATGATATACAAATATATATTAGATTATATGCATCCACAGTAGAAATGCTCTAGACCAGCGTTTCTCAAAGTGGGCGATAACGCCCCCTTGTGGGCACTGGAGGCTTTCAGGGGGGTCAGAAGGCTCAAAGAGAATTGGGGGGCGTTAAGGAAATATAGAGGGGCGACGGCAGACAAATTCTATATATAAAAATTTGACGGAATATATATAAAATGTTGACATTTTATATATATTTTTTTTTTTTTATTGAAGGTCACAACTTGAATATTTCTAACACATTGACTTTTATTTTAGCTCAGCGTTTCTCAAAGTAAGCAATAATGCCCCCTTCTGGGTGATGAATAGATCTAGGGGGCGCTAGAGGCAAGGTATTGAACGGTGACCAAAGGCAAAATTGGGGCTGATAAGAGGAAACATTGCGTTTAATGGTTTCCAGATGATGAGAACAATGTACAGTAAGGGCACAAAGTGTGAGATTTATAGAAAAGTTTTCCTAAGAATATTTCCAATCCTTTTCTCACACCAGAGAAAATGGGTTAGGGGGCGTTGGGTATAACTTTATGGAACAAAGGTGGCGGTGGATCAAAAAAGTTTGAGAATCACTGCTCTAGACTGAAATCACATGATGTAAAGTGAAGTGTCTTCATTCTTGAAATAATTTAAAATGTTTTTACTATAAATTTAAACAGTAAATTTGTACTTCAATACATATGATTAATATAAAAATTCATACTTTTATGACTCCTTCATAGCAAAATTGTGATATTTACTAGTGGTATTATATAGCTATTGATAATGACATCATCCTATGTTTTATTTGACTTTTCTAGTCTTTTCAAAATAAATGGAGTCGATGTTTATTAATCTATATATATGAAGGATTATAATTTCATGTTCATTATGAAATAGAACATATATTAGAAAATTATATGTTTAAATTGTTATATCTATTTGAGATTTTTAACATTTTTGCAAGAAATTTGAGATTATAAAAAACAAAACACATCACACATCATATGATTTGATATTTGAATTTCTAAGTTTATATTTTTGTTTGCTTCTTAGCTATGACAGCAGAGTAATACATATTCAAGATTCAGAATATTGGCTCCATTTTTATTCTAGGAAATACTATAGCTGTTTTGTTACTTGTTTTTATGTAAAAAATACAATACATTTAGTATTGACATTTTTTACATATCTTAAATTTCAGATAACATCTACACATGATCAAGAAGAAGAGGAACCAGAGGATAATAGCAATGAAAAGAGCGATGATGAAGAATCAAAACTGATTATAGATGAAACTCCAAAAAAAGTTTGCTAATTTTTTTGTTTACAGAGTACATTGCATAATGATAGGCCCACACTGAAATTATAAAATTTCTATTGAACAGCTAACTATTTTTAGCTTTTATTTTTTATTTATTACAACCATAGAATATATAGTTACAAGAATAAACTCAAAATAGCAAAAACAGGTGTTGCAGAAAGATAGACCCACCAAACAAAAAATAATCATAAATATGAATTATAATGAAATTTTTTTTCTTCTTTCAAAATCATTCATAAATCCTTTTTGGCACCAAATTAAAAAATTTTGTGCAATATATGCTAATGGCTTGCCACTCAGACAGATTTAATTACCTCTTTTATTTCACATGTGGAGTTTATTGTTTCCATTTGTGTATACAGCTCTTTTGTTTCTCATAGGTTTTCTATGGAGTTTAAATAAGAACTGCAAGGTCAACTGTGCTATATGAATTGGAGCATTATTTTACTAAAGCATGAAGCATGACTTCCGTTTCTTATGCAAATGTCAGCAGATGGTCATTAAACACATTTTGATAGTCCAGTGGTTCTCAGTGTGCCTAGGTGTGTTGGTGTATCCCAAGTAAATGATACTTTCACAAAATTGTGAAAGTATATTTTAAATATGAGAAGAAATCAATTTATACAAAGTTTTATTACATCCATGAGGGTTATCATGGATGAAATAAACCTATGGAGCCTTTAGAGTAGCAGTTATTATAATACACAGCCATTTATAATTTAAGTTATAGTAATATATTTCTAATTTTGTATGTAAAGCGTGCCAGAAAAATTTTTCCTGTTTTACAGTTAATGTGAACCAAAAAAGTTTGAGAATCACTGATAATCTGTTGTGTTAATGCAATTAGTTAAAAATCCAATATTGTAAAGAATCATTTCAAAGAATAATAAAATATTTACTTTATGATGTAAAGTTTCACATTTGATGATGAAGTACACACGTCATAACCAACCTTTCCTTGAAGGCTACTGCTGGAATCAGAGTTTTATCTTTCCTGCATCACAGCTGTCTGCAATTAATTTACATGGTAGTAAACATTTACAAAATTTTTCAGTTCTAAGAAATTTAAATATGTTGAAGCATTTTTTTTATAGGATTTTAAAAATTCTGTAAATCTAATATCTCTTTTTTTTTTTTTTTTTTGTGCCATCCAAAGCCTATCCATCTTGTTGTTTTGAAAACATTTGTTTTTCTTTCTACATGTCAAGTCAATAAAATTGCCAGCCATCTGCCCATCTAAATTGAATTTTTTTCATCATTGAACATTACTCTTTTTTCAGTCTTCTTTCCAAATCATTGCTTCTTTTACAAATTTTAATTTTTCTTTACATTTTCCAGTTAATTTTTAGGCAGTTTTTTTGCATTTGTAAGACAGAGTTGAATTTCTTCAAGTTTCTAGATCAAGGGTGGGCAACCTTTTTTATAACATGGGCCAGAATAAATTTTACGTGTTTTCCGCGGGCCATAGTAGTTAATTGACACCTTGTGACCTGTAAATTTTTTGTCTGCAAAAATGAAATAAATAAATAAATAAAAAGAAATTAATTACTACAGTCGACCTCCCTATAACACTGTTGATTATTCCGTTTTATATGAATTCCATGTTGTATGAGTCACTTAGATTTTACAAATGTGTGTGCCATGCTGTGAACGGCTCACCTATTTGTAAAATCTAAGTGACTTTAAACACAATAATGTGTTTAAAGTCACTTAGATTTTACAAATAGGTTTGTAATGTCTGTCGTATCCAACTACATAGTGCTGTTTTTATTTTTACAAATAAAAACAGCACTATGTAGTTGGATACAACAGACATTACATTTTCTAATTGCATAGCTTTTGCACATAGATTTTCTTGATGGATGATGCGATGAGATATAAATAATTTAGAAAAATTCTGTTCTCCCATTTTTTTGTTTGAATAAGGAAATGACTCCCTTATTTTTTCCTGTCATTGCTGCCACAACACTTCAGAAAATAATATTCAATTTAAACTAGACGAATTACATCGAAAAATATTTATTTATAATTTCTTCTAAACATCTCGCGGGCCGGATAGAAACTTTTCGCGGCCCGTAGCTGGCCCGCAGGCCGGGGGTTGCCCACCGTTGTTCTAGATGGTATTGATTTAGAATACAACCACTCAAAACTTTGTAAACTTGATCTTGATACAAAGCCATAAAAACCAAAAAAACCACGTGACTTTGTATCAAGTTTAGCTAGTTTTGAGTGGTCGTATTTTATACCTGGCTTCACCAGCCAAACAATATCATAAGCTTATCAATTATCTTTGCTGTATCACAGCAAAGATGAACTTCCTACTACAATGCCAATTTTTTTCTGGTGATCTTCCCATCTTTCAACTGAACATCTGTCTCCTTCCTGAGTGTGCTTTTTGGATTTTGGTTTTTTGTGGCTTCGTATCAAGTATTGATTTAGTCTCTAAATGTCTCATTCATGTGTCAAAGCACCTAGGAAAGTGAAGCCAGACTTAAATCTTCTTAACAATTGACTTTTTTTGATGAACAATCAGTTTAGCAGATTTTTCCAGGGAATGTTTTAATACCATAAGCATTCTTTAATTACACAAAATTGTTGTGTTATATGATCATTTTAAAATTTTTACAATTTCTCTGTTTGACTTTCCACATTCTTTGAAGTTGTAATTTGACCTTTTTCCTGTTTTTTTGTAAGCTGACATTTACAAGCCATTTCTTCTTACGTTCATTAACTTGCTACTATGCCATGGAAAATATTGAAATTGAGAAATGAAGCACTTTGAGCTTCATTTCTCAATTTGCTGTGATATTCCCAAAGAAGTTTGTAATAGTTAAAGTGAAATTACTCAAATCCCATGAAAAACATCTGAAATTGAGAAATGAAGCACTTTGAGCTTCATTTCTCAATTTCAGATGTTTTTCATGGGATTAAAGACATATATAGATACAATTCTGCATAAATTAGAAATTCTTGTGCTCTATTCCAGAAAATATCGCAGGTGGATTTTTTTTTGCAACATCTAAAAATCAATAAAATGTTGCATTTTTTAAAAGAAAAAGAATTGCTAAAAATTATTTTTTTGCCTTATTGTTACACTTCTGATTATGAAACAATATAAATTTTTCAAATGATTATTTGCATATTTTTATAAAATATGATTTTGCAGATGAACCTATCATTATGCAACATACTGCATTAAGTTATAATAATTTATCAAACTTGAAATTTAATATAATCAAATATAATTTAATTAACACTCTTATTACATTCATTTATATTTTCATGTATGAAATGTGATAATTTCAAATGGATATTAAAAACTCACACAAATATATGAACAGACTTAATCAGACTTTGAATACTTTTGCTTACAACATTGAAAACTTCTTCAGGAATGTTGAGAATGTAATGGAACAAAGTTTTTTAAAATTTAAAGGAACATTCTTTTTACAGAGGTAACTTTGTTCTATTCCCAAAGAAGTTTGTAATAGTTAAAGTGAAATTACTCAAAGCTTGATTAAATCTATTCATGTGTTTGTGTGAGTTTTTGATGTCCATTTCAAATTATCATATTTCATATTTAATGATTTTGATGTACTCCTCCACTAATTTTTCATGTGTTTACTAACTTTTTTTAAAATTAAAATATATTTCATTTCATAAATACAGAAATGACCAAGCATAATACCCATTATTATATTGTTTACAATATTCACATCTTTTGATGATAAGCAATAAGTTTTATTATTTATAAATTAAAATTCAAGATTATTTATTATTCTATAGTCAAAATGCTACAAACTAATATGTTATTAATTTATATGGTTTCAGAAAACTGAGCATCCTAATCGGAAAAGAAAACTTTCTGAACATAAAGAAAACAAGGTAATTTAAACTAATCAATATATTTAACTTATGATACCTAAAACACTTAAATAATGTATAAAAATCAAATATATGTGTTAAAAATTAACCATGTGATTATTCTATTAGACAAAGAAAATAAAATTAGATGATTCCACCCAGAAATCCAGTGAAGAAAAAGAAACAACAGAGAAAAAGGTATATATTTCAATTAGCTAATAAAAAAATAATAAATTATTTCAGTAAAAACTTTTGTCTTCAAGTTAAAAATAATGTCTTTTTATATTATCTGAGTATTAAAAAATTAGCTGTTTATTTATGTAATACATAATTATAAAATTTAAATATAGAAAAGAAAAGGAACATCAAGAAAATTAATGATACAAAAGGAAAGGATGATAATTTTCTTTTGTTCCAAAAAAAAGTATTGTACAGTATTGTAAAGTATTTGTAATTAAAAAATTTTGCTTTGCTTTAATAATTATAAAACTTATAATTCTAAGAATAATTACATATATGGTCATTGTGACCATAGAGGAGAATTAGGAACATTTTGTAGTATCAAGCTTCTTAAAAAAACTGTCATGATACTGCCATGACAATTTTTTTAAGAAGCTTGATACTACAAAATGATTGAGATAAACTAAAACAAATAAACAAAACTGAATGTATTACTATGTATTATTTTAAAATACTTGAATTTAAAATTCAAATAGATTTTTGTGAAAAAGAGAGCCATCACTTTGAAATTGGCTTAAAAAATTTAAAAAGTATGTATATATAGGTTTGACAAATAGAAAGCCTTCATATGTCTGTGTGTCTTATGGAAAAATATCAAACTGAACCTCACATGCATATATGCATGCAACATCTATTAGTGAATATTTTCTTTTAACTGACACAGCTTAAGTGCTACCAATGGAGGTCAGTGTGTGACAAAGCCTCAACATAATTCCAGACAATTCTCACTGTAAAGAACAAATATACTAGATTTTTCAGTTGGGGTAAATAAGCATCTGGGCTGAGCAGAGTTGGAGTTAACTGATATTTATATTTGATACAATTAAGAGATAAGAATAAAGTAGTCTATTGGTGTAATTGTTATACATTGGTGATTATATGTAAAGTTTAGTGTTTTAAAATAAAAAGTATTGTGATTGTGGTAGAATCTACAGTAAATTGTAATAATAAGTAATGGTAATGGAAAAAATAGTCTGGATTCCATTATCATAAATGGAAGGCCAAAAAATAAATATAATCATCAATGCAAGAGGACTCATTCTTGAAGTATGTTTGTTCTTGACAATTAGCCAGGCCAATGGGGGATTTGAAGAGAAGAATTAAATGATAATATAGAAAAAATGGTAACAAAAAAAAATCCTACCATAGTTTCACAAACAGAAAATTTAAACATAGTTTTGACAATAACAAAAAAATGGAATAAGAATGTAATGAAGTCAAGAATTAGAAGTGCATGAAATGGAACTACCAATGGTGCTACTAATTTTGTTTTAAATTTTAATGATCCTACTATATCAGAAAGCTGGTGATTATCTTCATTTAAATATGGTCATAGATGTAGTCTGAAAATTTTTAGCAGCAGACAAAGATATGGTTCATATGATGAAGAGTTTTCCCTTAGGAATTGTGACAGTAAGAGAGGTATGCCATGATTCCAGAATACATCTTTCCTGAAGTATTATAGTAAATATATGAGGTATTGCAGAGGTAAATTCTCATATCAAAAGACTAATTTGCATTTTAGCACATAATAATAAAAAGATTTCTTAAAGTAATATTGGCTTGTAATTTCTTTAAAAAAATTCTTATTTTGATTTTATAAATGAAAAACAAATTTATTGTTATTGAAACAAATTAATCTTAATTAAAATCTTTGATTAGTGCACAATTAAATTATTTCAGTCATTTATCCATTCAAACTCCTCTATGTAGTGTTGTAAGTGATGCAACAGCACAGCAGATACTAGAAATTGGAATTGAATGGGCATCATAATGTGGAGTTATAATCTGCAAGTATTCAAGTATAGTTCCTTTGGTTGAAGAGAGTTTAAAAATGTATTAAAAAAGAGATGCAAACTGCCTTTCAAACTCCTTTATAATGACTTCAAAAGGAAGTTCATTTTGAGATTAAATCTTTATAGTTCTTAATTTTATTATATAAACTGGAAATATTTTGTTTGTCTTTAAACTTTAAGCATTTATTATTTTAATAGATTTATATATATAATAAATCTAGTGATACATTGGTCTCACTTGCTGACACATTGACATGAAATGTTTAAGGACGAACGAGCAAACTTTTTACAAAAAAAAATGAAATTCTACAATCAAAAAGGAACAATGACTACTATTCAATTTGAAATCTCAAAAAAAAAAAAGTAAAATAACTCTGTGAAGTGTTAAAGTTCAACTTAACCTACTTCACAGAACATCAAGGCATCCAAGTTGGCCAATAAAATTAAGCATTATATGTTAATTTTTGAAAGATGCTTATTATTATTAATTTATTCTACAATTATTTTAAATTACAATTTTTATTTTCTTGCCTTACCATCAGTCATTTCTTATTAAATTTTTAAAATATTATGCACAGTTGTTTAATCAATATATATAAAATTAACATTTTTTGTATGATTAGAGTTATTATAAATTTCAATATAGATATGAAGTGTATTGTAAAGCGAAGCAAAACTTCAGATTTATAATACTACAGTCAGTCAAGAATTGAATCATACAGTACTTTTATTTGTACTTGCTTATTTTAATAACATATATACAGTATTCGAATATATATATAGCATTTGAAGTACACCTTGTACTTCAAATGCTAAATTCAACAAAAATTCTCTTTGGAGTTTGAATGATGCTTTAAAGTTTGAACTGTGCATGCAGTGAAAAATGCATTTTAAGCATAAATAAGTGTTTGAACCAAGAATATTGATACAATCTCAAATTAGCAAAAATGTGTTAAATTTTATAACTTATAAATAAATCACACTTGTATGTTAAGTAAAGACAGATGTTAAAAAAATACACGAAAACTCTTTTCAACTAAATATTACCTTTACTTATTAATCTTGGCCTTCAAGAAGTGTGTGGATGGAATGAAATCTACTAAGTAAAAGGAAGGCTGTAATGTTGACGATTCAGATGAAAAAAGAACTTATGGCAATACATTAAAGTAGTACACATGTGACGAATCGCGCGGCCATGTTTAAGATCTCAAAGTCAATAGTGTGTGACCGGTAAATGCAATTTTCATGTTATTGTACAGTATTTATATATTCTATTTATTGTTTTCATGTTTTAATTTATTATTAGAGAAATTAATTGTGTTATTTTTACTTTAAATTATATGTATTTGCCATTTTAAGTTTATCAAAATGGGTATCATTTAGGGTCTGGTTCACTTTCCATTGTTTCCAATGTAATGGGAAAAATTTTCTTGTACTTTGAACAAGTTGAAGTTTGAATGTCCTCCTGGAATGAATTAAATTCAAAATTCAAAGTACAATTTACCACTGTGTGTATATATATCCTACAGCTTTCCACATATCAATTTATTGTTGTGATATTGATTTATGTATCAGAATTTCTGATAATCATTTAGTTATTTCAGAAATTCTAGTATAACTGAATATCTTCAAAGGTTAGGGTATTTTCTTTATTATTGTAAATGATGGTCAGTTCCAAATGCTTGTGACAATTTGATATTGTGTACAAAAGTAATATCTGAAGATGAATGTATAGGCTTTAGAATGTCATACTTTAACCTTCGTAAATCAAATATTTTAGTAACTAAATTTTCAAATACAGTAGAGTTCATTTATCTGAAAGTCGATCAATTGAAACGTCGGTTAACCGAAAGCATTCCAGTCGGACTGTGTTGTGCTGAATCAAACATTTTTGATACTAGATTAACTTCTAAAGTATAATTTTTTTTTGTTTTTATATTTTTCAATATATTTATTTTGTTTGTACGAAATAAAGAAATAATTTTTAACAATACAATAGCCACCAGTATTATTATAAAAATTTTCGTTAGGCTTAACATCGATGGAAATTCAATGTGAAACAACATGCAATGGAGAAAAATTTCAATATGGGATAGGTTAATATATTTTTTCATACATAATCAGTTATCCAAAAAATAAGTTATTCAAACAACCCCAGTCCCCAATTGATTCAGATAAACGACGATCTACTGTATATGATTTAAAAACACACACACAAGAGTGTGTGTGTGTGTAAAAACTTAAAAAGGTAACACATTTTTATACATGTATAGATGTACAGTGGGCGATTGGTTAACGAACAGTTCAGATAGAGAACAAATCGGATAACGAACACTTTCGCGAAAGATTTTTATGATCGAACAACGAACACATGTTCAGATAATGAACACTTTATTAAACAAATATAAAAAGAATCTATGGAAAATAACAAATACCGATTGATTTTCCCTTGTCTTCAGGTAACAATTCAAAACCTTTCGGAGCGCAGGAGTTGTCAACGTCGACACTCAACCCGATACCGATCAGATAGTATTCCTCTAAATTTTGAAGCTCTCCCTTGTAATTCCAGCTTTTTGTTTACCTTTCTGACAAATATAGTTTTGCGTTGAGGTTTATTTACGAAATGTGAAAGTTTAACTGTCCCGTCGGATATTTGTTAACATTTTAATACCAAATTTCAAATTTCATCCAGGCCTTGCATTTAAATAACTATTTGTGGGCTAGTTGATTTCTGTTCTCTGAAGTTTTGTAAGTGCTTTTCTGAACTTTTTATTTAAAAAAGAAACTGATAATATTATGGAGCCTAAAAAGAGTGGAGTGTCAGAACTGTGCTCACCATAGAAACCAAGTAAGAGATAATAGCCAAGGTAGAAAGTGGGCATAAGATGTCTGATGTTGCTAGGCAGTATGGCTTGAAAAGATCTACAGTAGGCACAATCTTATCTATGAAAGATATATCAAGAAGTCTCAAGCTGCTAATGGAGTAATGAAAATCACATCTGAGAAATAGAGTATTTAAGAGCTCATAATGGAACCTGAAACTGATCTGACGACAGAAGAACTCCAAGAACTCTCAAATGACAAATACTAAGAAACTCAGCGAGATGTGTTTTCTTTTGAAAAAGAGGAAGACGAAAGAGGACTAATGTCAACATCTGCTACTAAAGATCTTTTGAAGAAGTGGGAGGATGTCAGAACAACAATCATCCAAGTGGCATCCAAACCATAATAAGATTAATGGGGTTGGGGATCTCTACAATTAGAATCTCTACAATACTATTAATTACTTCCGAAAAATCCCTAAGAAAAGAGAAAAGCAATCAACATTGGACAGATTCTTTAATCCCTACAAACGGAAAAAACATGACTAATAAAAATGTAACACTGCATATATATGTATTTTTACTATTACATATTAATAAACATAGTAAAAAAAGCATATATTTTTTATTTTTTGGAGTCTCCAGAACAAATTAATCAAATTTCCATAAAAACCTATGGTAAATTGATAATTGGTTAACGAACAATTTGGATAATGAACAAACTCTTGGAATGGATTATGTTAACTGATAACCCACTGTATAGGCATACATGTATATAAACACTTATTCAAAAAAATTTTTTTATATAATTAATTAAATAATTTTATCCCATAATTTAAGTATATAATTTAGTAGTTTTGAATAATTTTAATTTGTTGAAATAAAAATTATAATTCTTAGATAAAAGTAAAACGAGAGAAACGTAACAAACAACCCAAACCTGAACCAGAACGAAGCCGAAGCGGTCGGATGATTAAAAGGAAGAGATTTAGTTCTGAAAGTGAATCAGAAGAAGAGGAGGAGGAGGAGGAAGAAAAAATACCCGAAGAAGAACCAAAAACGCCAACACCAAAAATAAATAATTCAGAAGAACCTTCTGTATTATCTTCACCAGTTGAAGAAAATAAAGAGGAAGAAGCAAAACAAAAGAAAGCAAAAGAAGAAAAATCTCACAAAGAAGAGAAATCTAAATCCAGTAAGAATTGTTAGAAATGTTTGATATCAAATATTTTGCATAATATATATTGTTCTGTAACAAGTTGATATATTTTTCACAGTATCAAAAAAACAGTTTAAAAAAGAAGAAAAACCTCCTGAATCTATTAGTCCAAGTGACAGTCCTTTAAGTAGTGATGAAAAAAGTGATGAGTATGTATTTTATGTTTTAAATATTCATGATTTACATGATAACCAATTATAAAAAAAATAAGAAAGAAATAAAGTTGTATGTTAATTTAACTGAATATGTAACAATTGTGGATAAATAAATTAATTTTTCACTTGTAATTCCAAGTTTGAAAATAATTTTCAAATTTGGTATTATATATAAGAAATATAATGATTAGCTTTTGTAATGTTGACATCTGTAACTGTGATGCCTCCTGATTGTGCTTTGTCATTCATTTGCATATTGCTGTCCTTAAAGTGCTTCTATTACTGAAATACTGCAGCAAGGCTAATTGTTTCATTTCCATATAAACTGTTAAAGTAGTTTGATTGGAAATTAAGAAATTTTAATATCAAAACTTAAATTTTGTTACTATATTCTAAATTTAAAATTCTTATGTATATATAATGCCTTCAAAAGTTTTATCAACCAAAAATTTTATGAGAAAATATGATTTAATTATCCAGCAATATTTCACATAATATTAGTGAAAAACTGTAATTAGCATTTTAATATTTTTGAGTTATATAATTTAGTAGCTGAAAATTTGTTATTTTTATTTCTGCTAATTTTAATTTTAAAATGGTCTTTTCAGATTTTAAAATCAACATTTCAATTTAGAATATATTGCTTATTAGTGCTTTAATAAAACAGCATATAATTTGTTTAGTTTTAAATTTATTTAAAATTTGTTTTTATTATTAAATTATTTGTGATATGGTTTTTATATTATATAGGGATAATATTCCTCTGAAGCCTCCTGAACCCTCTGTAACTGAAGAAAGTGTTCAAACTCAGTCAACAAAAAAATTGAAAAAGGTACTCATATTTGTATTTTCGGTATAAAAATTGTTAAGGAATAATCAATTTAAATCATTAATTTGATTTTTTTTATAACTAATAGCATGTTAATTTTTAAAAAAAATATTTTTACAGTTAAGTTTCTTTTGTAGTAAATCAGTATTCTGGAATTCTGGGATCCTAACTGTTTTTATTGGCTTTGAAAATCTCAGAAACAGGATTAATATCATGAGAAATCTTAGGATTTTAATTATTTCTACATCAAAACTAAAAAGACTTATTAATGTTATTCTAGAATAGAGAGTGATTTTTACTCATAGTATAATAACTTTTACTGACATTTTAGTTGTTTCCGATGAGTAAAAATAGTATCATATAGATTTAACTTAAAAGTGCTAAAACATATAAAGAGGAGACACATCATTGAATAAAAAATTAGTAAAAATAAATGAAAATTATAGTATTTCTATAATTATTTAATTATTCTTTATGATTGACTATATTGTTTATTTTTTATTGAATTTTTAAATTATTTACAGCTATTTAATTAATATATATGTTACCGGCCAAACCCAATTTCAGGCCAAACTAGTTTATCCTACGCGTGTCAGGATATACTAGTTTAGCCTAGGACAATCTAGTTTGGCCTAAATACTTTAGGCTTACCTAGTTTGTCCTAGGCCAAACTGATTTATGTACTACAAATAGGTGCCAGTGTAAAAAAATGATTTTGTGTAATTCGAAATGCCACCACAGTATACCCAGTGGTTAAATTGTACCTAGGTAACCCCAATGGCAGTGTTTCGGTTAGGTTGGTTTGGTTAGGTTAACTACATTTTTAGTAGACGTTTCCTTTTTTTTCTTTTGTTCAAGAACTATCGTGAATCAATAACTAGTGACGTTAAACAATGGGTGGCCTACCGGTGGCTCCCCTCTGGGAGGAGTCCGTCGGGAGCACGAACAGTCCGAAGTGTCGCCATTGAGGTTACCTAGGTACACTTAACCCACCCTGTAAAAATAAATAAAAGATTAAATATTTTATATGTTACACTAAGAAACACAAACAAGTTCATTTTTAATTTTAGTTTGACTTTAAAAGTTATTTTTATTATTTTGTTTGAATTTTTGAAAATGTTTTTGATTGTTAATTACCTTTAAAATTGCATGGCTTAATAAAAAAAATACAAACTGATAAGTACTAATTAGCTTATTTTTATTTTATAGTTTTGCACAAGTGTTGTGTCACTTCTAATCAATACTGTTTTTTATAATTAAGTAGACTATGTTTGAATAATTATTGTTCATCTAACTCAGTGTTTTTCAACCTTCTTGAATACGCGACCCCTTTACAAGTTAAAAAATTCTGGCGACCCCCCTAGGGCCATATTAAAACTATATCAGTGATCTTAAAAACTATGTATTTAATTTTCTTTCTGTTGAGACAAATTATTGTTGATTAAAATGAAAATTTCGGAAGAATTGACAATAATTTAACACACAAAGTATGAAACTTCCTTTAATTATAATATTAGGCACAGGAAACTGTTGACCTTTTTTCTTTTTCTTTTTTCTATTTTAGGATCTGAATTTTCAGCTTTTACTTTTCTACTTTTTATTTCCTTTTGCAAATCAGCTCAACACTTTTTCCGCTATCATTTTCTGGGGTGGGCCGTAATTCTCGCTGAAATTGTAGTTTTTTTAATGTAGGACCTACAAACACTTGTCTTTTTCTTCTACCCGCGACCCCCCGTGTAAGGCTTCGCGACCCCCTGGGGTCGCGACCCACAGGTTGAAAAACACTGATCTAACTGATTGCCTTTTAATTTTATTTTAACCATTAATATACTTAAATCAGGCCTGGCCAACCCGCGGCTCGTCACATTAAATTGTGTGGCCTGCTAAGTGATATATATCTATTAAAACTTTCGTTTTCCATTTTGTGTATACCAAAACAATTAAATAAATGAAAATTTGCATGTGTCATTGTTATAATGTGCAAGTGCGTGTATGAACTCTTGGCATAACAATGAAATCTTATTTATTTTGTATTTGTTTAACTTTTTTAAAAACATGTTTGCCTAAATTGTGGCCCATTGTAATGCTACACTTGATCAAAGTGGCCCGTGAAAAAATTTAGGTTGGCCAGGCCTGACTTAAATAATAATTCTAAATCAGTTCGGCCTAGGACAAACTAGTTAAGCCTAAAGTATTTAGGCCAAACTAGATTGTCCTATGCTAAACTAGTTTGGCCGGTAACATATATAAAACTAATATTGTTTATATAAGGAATTTCAAATAAATTACAACATACGAGGATAGGGATGTGAGATGCTGGACTTGGGCTGCAGAAGGCAAGAAGAACAGTTTGATATATTATACTTTAATACTAATAGCCATATTTACATTTTAAAACATCTTGTGATTTTCAAAATGATACATTAGACAAAATTATGAATTTGGGAAACATTTGGCTATACTTCTAATAACTGAATATTGATTTTAAAAAAATTTGAAATGATTTAACTCTTTTCAAATCCTTCTTTAATTTTGAGCACCGGTATTAATGGATTAGTCTATAAATGAAAGCAAAGGGCAAAAAATGATGAATAATTGTAATTTAAATAATATCATTGATCATTTTTCAGTTTTTATTTTAGTGAGAATTTTGATTGTCATGATAAAAAAAATGCAGGTCAGAACGGATTACTATTCTCACTATTTTTAAATTAGTCACTTTTCTCAAGTATTTCGATGATATATCATTATTTCTCACTTTTTCTGCTGTTATGGGCAATGATATTTTTGTAATGCTAAGCTTTCACATGTTACTTCATTAATTTAATTAATGATTAATTAATGTTTAAATTGAGATGCCCATAACATCTTTCTCTTGTTGCGCTTTGGAAACTTTATGTTATTACATGACTTTTGAGGTCTTAAAACGTTAATTATGTAATATCATAAATTTGAGAGTGCACAGTCTAACGTCGGCAAAATTTTTTTTGAAGTACGGTATTTTAATTCCTTCTGAGCTGTTCACAATTAACCTTCACACCTTCAATTTGAGGGCAGGTGTTAAATTTTTTTTCAAGTTTTTGTTAATATTTTATAAAATTTTGAAAGTTTATTAAGGGACAATTTAATAAATTTATAGCTTTGTAACAGATTATAGTACACTTTATTGAACGTAATCATATTTAAGAACAACAATTTTTACATAATTTATTGTCTAGCTGACACATACAATAGTTCTAAGAATAAAAATGTGTATTATTTAGTTACATTTTAATATGAATGGTTTGTTTCACATTGAACTTAAATCATAAAAGGTAACAGAAACAGATTATTTGTAATACATGTTATCATTTTAAACTTTCTTTTACAAATTACATTATAAGAAAAGTAGTGTATTTCAGTTTTGTCTGAAAAAGGTACGACCTTGGATAATGGAGTTTTACTGTATTTTAATAAGTTCAGAAAAATTATTAAAGGACAATTTTAGACCAAAAAATCAATTTATACTTCAGTGACTAACAGCAGGATTTATTACTAAATAATAAATGAAAATATTGCTTTTTTTCCTATTTTTCAAAGCTAATTTTATGGTTATACTTTATAACAAGGAAAATTATTTTTATGTAATAAAATATTGTATTTTATACCTTGAAGTAGATTCCAAAAAATATTTTTCTAGTTATTAATTTTAATTGTAAAAAGTTTGATTTTACAAACTGATTGAAAATAATAAATCATTAAAAAGAAGAATTAATGAGAAAAAACATATTTAAAGAATGCATTAATAGAAATTTATTATAATTATATAATTTTGTTTGTTCATGATTTTTCATGTACACTTAATCTTTCAAAATAGGTACCCATAAGTATGGGTATCTGAGTAATATCTCTGTATCTGGTACCCAGATATACCCAGTACAAAAATGGGTAATGATATTCAGCACTAGACATCAGTTATATTTTTTTTATGTTGAGTACTTTTATTCATAAAACTTGAGAATGGAGATTAACTAAATAGGTTTGAAATTAGCAAGCATTTTGTTTTAAAGTAAGCATGCTTTTTTTAAAGCCAACGTAATCTTAATTATAACAAAAGAAAGTGAAATGGATTGATTTTTATATATTAGAATTTTTTAAAACTAATTTTGTAATTTTTTTTTATTTAAGGATAAACAAAAACAGAAAGAGAGGAAAAAGAGGAAAGAATCTAAGAAAATTAAATTAGATAAAATAAAAAAATCTAAAAGTCGAAGCAAGGCTAGTAGTAGTGGTGACAGCAGTGTCAGCAGTTCTTATGGTACCAGCGATTCAGAAGTATCTAGTTCATCTGACTCAGAATTTGAAAAGAAAAAAGAAAGAAAGGTAATCAAAAGTAAAACAATCATAAATTAATCACAGAGTAATGTTGTCCAGTATAAAAACAAGGATTCTCATATGTGTTGGCCAAAAATAAAATACACGGTAAACCTATGAGAAAGGTTCAGTAATGCAAATGTAGAGTAAATATCTGAATTTGCATTAATGTCTTTACTTCCATAACTATTAATTGATTAATTTAGATATAGCCATACTGGTTACAGTACTGACTGCTTATTAATTAATTTTAATATAGCCTGATAAGTAATCTGGCAGATAATTTGGTAATACTAATGTATCAGGTTGGTGTACATGTTATTGGACTGTCCTTGTTTCAAAATAGCATGTTTTTTGAATAGTATTGTCAAAATATACTGTTTTTATGTGTTACATATCATAATAGTTTTAACTAAATCACACCACTGATCTCTATAGTGAAGTGTACTGAAGAAAATGCATTCAACCAATAATGTGGTTTAATATATATTTGAAAGTAAAAATTATTTTATTTAGAAATATTTATCTTCTGCATTTTATTTTATTTTATTTTTTTTATTTTGCAGGACAAACATAAGAAGAAGAAAATGAAATTGGATAAAGTAAAGAAATCAAAATCAAAAAAGAAGTATTCTAGTAGTAGTTCAGAAAAAGCTCTAAGTTCTAGTTCTGATTCTGAATTAGATAAAAAGAAGACAGAGAAGGTTAATTATTTTGATTAATAATTTTTTTAATGATATTTATAACTGTTGATTGTACTAATTTGTTCAATTTTGATATTGTTTCAGAATCATTCCACCATTGTTATATCTTCACATCAAAAAGATAAAGGAAAAATTTTACAACAGAAAGACCAACAGAAAAAAATAAGCAAAGATAAAAAATCAGATGAAAGTTCAGATCATAAAAAGTCAAAAAAAAAAGAGGAAAAGCATAGCAGTGGTAAAAGCAAACATCATTCTACACCTCAAATAAAACCAGAAGAAAAAAATAAAAAAGAGGATAATCAAGATGATGTGAAGAAAAATAAAGATGTAAGTAAAAATAATTTTTAACTGCAATGAGAAAAAAGATATTTAAAGAAATTGAAAATAAAAAAACTATCATTAAACCATTTAGACTGTTCGAAATGAAAGTTCTATGAAAGAGAGTTCAATGGAGAAACTTCAACGTAAAATGTAAGTTTAGCCATAGAAGTTATTTGACAAAATATTTGGAAAATAATAAATATTACAACTAGGTTATTATATTCACTGCAATAATTACTGTTTCCTTTCTAATATTTTAGAGCAGAAAAAGAGGAGGAAAAAGAAAGGATGAAAAAAGAAAAATACGAAAAGAAAAAGCGAGAAAAAATTGAAAAATTAAAATGTAAGATAAAAACCATCCATTAACTTTTGTCAATGACATTTATTTAATTAAAAAGGCATATTTATTTATGAAATCATAGAAAGTATTTCAAATATTTAATAATTTGATATTTATAAGCAAATTGCTATTATGTTTCTTATGTATTATTAGACCTACAATGTATAATAAATATTGTGTGTTAGTGATTATTTTGATAGTTCAGAATGGAATAAATTGTATTGATGAGGAATGAGTCTGTAATTTAAATTCTTTTAATGTTTTTGAATTTGTATTTTTTAATATTTTTATTAGTGAGAAATTTATTGTTTTCTCTCATGCATTCACTTTAACTTCTACAGTTACCTTCAAAATAGAAATACTATATGAAATTAAGAGAAGATTTTCTTGCGTAAACTATTTGATAATCATATATTTTTGATATACAATTGGCAATAACTATTGCTACTTAGAAAGAACACCTTGTAGGTAGCTTAAATTATATGCTTGCCACATATGATTTTAAATAAAATTAGAATGGCTTTAATATTGGATAATTTGTGATTTTTTCCCCCTTGCACAAGTTAGTTTTGGATTTCTTTATTTTCAAATGCATTTGATAGAAACTTTACAATAGGATAGTGAACAGTTTAAATTTTATATAAAAATATCATTTAAATGACCAATGAGAATAACGAATCCTTACATCAAAAATAGTAAGGTGAAAATGTTTTAAAAATAAAATTGGAGTAATATAATTAAACAATTTCATTAATTTATATATAACCTATATCCAAAGATGATGTGTTGGTGCCGCAAAATGTCTGTTTTTTGTCAATGAGATTTTTTTGGTGTTTTAGAACATATACTTTTAGAGAAAATATATATTTTTTTCTCTAAAAATGTATGTTGTGTGTGTTTTATATTTTATACTTCTTTGTCATTAATCATATTTATATAATCAAGAGTAACTGGAATAATGCATCTTTTTACACCTAAATTTTCAGAGAATGAAAATGATTACTTGGTTTTCAATTATATCTATTATTTATTCTTTAAATCTGTTTGCAACATTAAATTAAATATTTTCCTAAAAACAGGTATTAAAACAATAGATCTAATTAGTCAGATTGTTTTGGCATCCTTTTTCATAACACATTCATAATGACAAATGCTGGGAGAATACCAAAGTGGTTTCCCAATGCCGTCCTTGGGGTTTCACATCTTTCCTTCTGGTTTGGATGTACTTCATTAATTAAGATTTCTTAATCAAAATTCTGTTGAAAAATTACAAAACAGAGTGAGAAAAATACATAAATTTATCATTCTCCTAGATGGTGATGAACAATTCAAATTTGAACAAATTGATTTTAATACATTGAACACTTAAAATTTTAATGCTGTTACCATTATAATTTGTAGCAAATAAATCGTTAATACAAGCATTAAAATCACTCCTGAGAACCCAATTACCTGATAAAATCTTCTATTCAAGTATTTTTACTGATTTTTCTTTATAAGAAGGATAGTATCACAACAAAATCATTAGTTTAGCTAAATAATAATTTTGAGAATCCATATATAATTTACTATAATTGATAATCAGTAAAATTATGAGAATTTTTATAGCTAATTATTGGAATATAAAAAACAAAGTAGACATACAGAATAAAAAAAAAGTACAAATCAAGTAAAAATTGAATTCAGAATATACCTTAGATTGATCAATAGTCAGGGAATTTGGTAATGAAAATAAACTATGAAAAGTACATTTATTAAATTCATCTAGATCGAATCTAGATGGATTTAATAAATGTGTTTGTCATACATTATTCAAGATTTTAACTGATTTAGAATAAAATTTGTAAATGATGAAATATTGATATTATACATTCAGTTTCATACCAGATATAGTAGAATCTGTTTATTGTAATTACAGATATTGTTGTAATTTGTTGATGTAGATATTGTTGTAGATTGTTGTGCATGCAAATTAAAATAAACTTATAAAATGTGCTTATTGTAATTAGAGTTTGTTTTTGTTATCTTCAGGTAACTAGACTTTTTAAGCTGTCTTTTCACACTATCAGCTTCAATATGTGGCTTATAACACTTAATCACTATCAGTTGAATTGAACCATTCCAAACTGTCTTATCTCTTTTTAAAAATTTTGTATCATCTGTGCTATCCAATTAATAATGAAAAGGGCATCACAATAAAATATTTTCATCATTAAAAATGTAGAAAATTGAATATCATTCCAAATTGCATCTTATTCACACTTTCAACTATTCCAAAACTCATTTTTTCCATCTTATTACCTTCAATATCATCCCAATTTGTCATTTAAATTATAATTCCATTGGCTAATAGCTCACATTATGTCCATTTTACATGTTATTTTATAAACTAATTATATCAGTTGCCAAATTTCAAGCTTTAATTAAAAAATTTATTGAATACTGAAAATTAAGAAAAAGTAGATGAGATGTATATTGCCTTTGTTATTAGTTATCATTATCAGTCTTAATCAGTACTTTAAATATTAAGCATTAATTGTTTTAGCCATTATTTGCTTATATTACAGTAGTTTATATCACTCTCATTTCTTTATTCAATTATATACTAGCTGTTAAAGCTATTGCAAAAAACAGCATGCAAACAACACTCTATGAATTACTATTTATTAATAATAATAATTAATGAATCTTAAAATTATACATTTTTTAATGTACAGTACACAATAAAACCAGAATTTTCTCTAATTGTAGTATTGTTTGATAATAAACAGCTATTTTTTTGTTTAATGTTATCATCAAAATAAACAAGACCCAAAGTGATTACAATAAGTGGGTTCTACTGTATATTCATAAATTCATTATTGCTAGAATGATATTTGTATAGCCATGAATGAATTTAATACATTTTATTTACAATGCATATTAGCATTTTCTGTAAAGTTTGTGGCTAGTGTTGTATATGAATACAATAATGAACTTTTCATTTATGTTGATAAACATTTACAGGGTGTCTCAGTTAAACGTTTCGAAACTTCTAAGAGGGGTAGGGTGCATCCCAACGACTCGGAATCATATAGCAATGTGGGGTCAGAGATGCTTTCCTGACGCGGTAGATGGCGTTGTAGACATTTCATTTGGCCAACAGTGGATCGGATGTGGTGGTTCCATGCGTTGGCCTGCTTGGTCACCAGACCTATTATGTCTTGATTTTTATTTCTGGGAGCATATGAAAACACTGGTTTACGACACCTCCATTGACAATGCTGAGGAGCTGGTTGCAAGAATTGCTGTAGCTGCTGGAGAAATTTGAGATGAGCCTGGATTATTCCAGAATGTTCAGAATTCCATGTGCTGTGGATGTGAGGTCTGCGTTGCAGTCAGTGGAAGAAACTTCGAACACTTTCTTTGACACATGTTTCTTTTGTTTTTGTACATATATTATTAAAATGAATATTCACTTACGGTTGTCTTCTTTATGATGTTTCTGTGTACATCACCGCTTCAGGTAAGCATTTCCGACTCTGCATTGCTATATGATTCCGAGGCATTGGGATGCAGCCTATCCCTCTTAGAAGTTCTGAAACGTTTAACTGAGACAACCCTGTATATATAGAAAACTAAAATAGCCACTTTTATTGAAGATCAGAATCTATAGTGGATAAAAAGTCCAATTCTTAGCTTGTTCAAAAATTAAATATAATAGTTTAGTTATATATTATAACTAATATTTGCCCTTCTGAAATATTGGTTTAACCCAGTGTTTTTCAATTACCAAACCATGGACTGGTGCCAATCCTCTAAAAACTTTCACCAGTCCACAGAAAATATTTGTCCATACTGATGCTGGCACAGTTGATTATGAGTGACATAAATGGTAATTTATAGTTACTGTACATATTTTGTTATGTACATCGTAATATGCCATAGATAAGCATATTTAAGCATAATAAATAAGAATAATTCATAGTCACATATAATGACTGGTTCATGTAAAATATTTTGTAATTTTACTGGTCCATGATGAGAAAAAGTTGAGAAACACAGATTTGAAATATATAAATGAAATACAGGTATACCTCGCCTTACGTCGTTAATTGGTTCCAGGAAAACGACGTAAGTCGAATTTACTTGTCTCCGAATCTACTTGTCACTACGCTAAACCATAAATTATTATTCCCTGTTCTGTATTTTATTTATTAATGCATTTTTAATAATATATGGTTAATAAAACTCTATTTTAAGCTTATAAACAAATAAATTTTAGTTTTTAATATAGTACAGAAAAAAGTATTCTAAATTTACGAATGCGTGTACTGTAAATACAGAACATACTCGTATATATTTTAATATGATTTTATGTGCTTTAAACGTTTTTCTAGTGATATTACGACTTCAATATTTGTGGCGGGCGGACGTAAAGTCGAATAAAATGACTTAAACTCGATTTATATTTTTCCATATACTTTTTTGACAAACGACGTATAATCGGGAATGACGTAACTCGAAACGACGTAAGTCGAGGTATGCCTGTATTAAAAGAATAAGTTTCATATAGAATATTTTAGCGTATTCATTTAATAAAGTGTTTATTGGATATTATCCTGTTTTAATCTCCGTCTTTTGTGTTGATTAATGTTATTCAGTAGATAAAAAGGACAGAATCTTTTAAGTATAAGTGTTCACTGAGTTCAGCTCTTCTGTTTTAGGCACATTTTATTTCCATATTGTCACCTGAGCAAGGATGTTAACACTCACTACCACCATTGAAACAAAATGTTGCACCAAATATGCCAGTTTGTGTTTTTTCATATAGTATGTCACTTTTATACACACATTAAGAATATATATTATTAAATATAAATATATAAATATATATATATTTATATATATTTTTTATATGTTGAGCAATATTTACAGAATTTTATGTAATGACGTTAAATGCAAGTTATTGGCATCTACCTGAGGACAAAATGATGAAAACTATCATAATTAAATATAACCTGAGAAAGTATGAAATAATACATTAAAATATAGTATTCACAATGTTTCTTAAACTTCCATGTAGTAATAAATAACATCCAAAAAATAATGCATGTACAATTTACCAAAAATTTTCAGTGTCAGAATGTTGCAAAATTTTGTCATCAGCAGAAAATGTGTTAATGAATATACAGAAGGTGATCAGATTTTATTTATATTTTACAAAATAAAATGTAAATAACATAATATACATGCAATAATCAGTTGTGAACTTTTTTCTATGTTAAATGTTTCCCTGGGATTTGTTATGATTCTGCATCAATTACTGTTTCCATTCTTGAATTGGTCATTCAATCAAGTATTGAGGAATCTTGTTCCAAGTCTCAATTTCTTTTTTCCACAAACCAGCTAACATGTGCACCATTTTAGAGAAAAGTTTTTGCTTGAGATAGCCAAATCCAAAAACTTTGAACAGACTAGTATCATTTGGGGAATGTCTGTTTTCCACTTAAGGAATACAACTGGAATTAATTATCTCTTGGCGATATGATTGAACCAAGTTGGTCTATGATATGATGAAGTTTTATATGACATGTAACTTTATCATTTTATGAGGATAAAGACGTGGAAGATAATTTTCATTGACATGAAGACATAGTCATGGTATAGTTCTCCATTAATCATATTCTTAGGAAGCACTTTGATGAGTAGTAAGACACTGAATTCATTGATTATTCCAACTGCTATACAGGCTACAGGCCAACTTTTAGGAAGTATTTCAAGCAACTTTTGAATAGTTGTTTCCAAGATTTAATATAAGAAATTCTCTTTTTGCAGTTGCATTAATTTAGGTATAACCATAAGTTTCATCCAAAGTGATGAGAATATTTTTGCCTGGTAGCTGCAAGATTTTTTCACAACTTTCTGCAATTAATCACATTTTTCCTCACAACTTCAGTTTATGAATCTTTTTTCTTGCCTTTATCAAACCAAGATCTTCATGAATAATTTGGTTGATGATTGTGAAATGTTTAGTTTATTTGCTATCATTCTCTGAGACAAGGATTCTTTTTTACTACTACTTTGATCATCAGTTTGACCAAGTACTTAGTCCAGGCTTTTTTTGTGTTTTCTTTTTGCCATCTTTCCATCAACTGCCATAATTTGTCTTATTCTATCTTTGCAGTGCAGCATATTACAGATTGACTTCTTGGAAACTTTTTAATATTTTGTAGACTAAAATCGTCATTGGAAAATTATTTTATTAGGATTTCTCTTTTAAGAAGAATCACTTGGCATTTTTAACAGAAATTAAAAACAAAAAAATAATGGACTAGGAATGTACAGTACATGTACTTTACATCTCAGTGAATCAAATTTGATCACTTTTTGTATTTTGAAAAGAAACTTTTTATTTTAAAAAAAACCATTAAAAATCTTTTTATAATGATTGTACAGTACAATTGTTAGAAAGCCATTACTGTAATCTTTTTTTTTTTTACAGATTATCTATTTAATTATATACATATTTTGATATAAAATCATTTTATTATTAATACTATCCATATTAATTTAAAACAAATTTATATAAATGTATAGAAAACCAAGCTTGCATTATAATAATAATCAAACAATAGCACTGGATAATTATTGAGCTAGAGAACTTAGCTAATTACTAAATACAATATATGATGGCAGTAGAACTGTCTAACTTTAGTCCAAATTAGCCAAATTCTGGCTTAATAGTTCATCCAGCTCTATCATTTGATTATTATTATGTAATATTCTATAATACATTAAATGTAATTGAGAAATTTTCTGTTACATTTAGCACATGCATAAATTATTTAATGGATTTAACATAAGATTCAGAGAATTTAATACTATTATATTATTTTAGAAATATAAATGATACACAATTGTGTTTATAAAATGATATTTACCATTTTCATATTTAATTCATTTGCTTTAATAAATTATATATTAAGCTTTTTTAATAATAGTTTGTGGATATTTTTAGTGGGTCAGATTGAAACTCGTCTGACAGAAATTGATGAAGAAATAAAGTATAGTTTAAGTTTAACAAATCTGGTAAGCAATGAAAAATTAATTTTAATTAATNTGAATAATTTTAATTTGTTGAAATAAAAATTATAATTCTTAGATAAAAGTAAAACGAGAGAAACGTAACAAACAACCCAAACCTGAACCAGAACGAAGCCGAAGCGGTCGGATGATTAAAAGGAAGAGATTTAGTTCTGAAAGTGAATCAGAAGAAGAGGAGGAGGAGGAGGAAGAAAAAATACCCGAAGAAGAACCAAAAACGCCAACACCAAAAATAAATAATTCAGAAGAACCTTCTGTATTATCTTCACCAGTTGAAGAAAATAAAGAGGAAGAAGCAAAACAAAAGAAAGCAAAAGAAGAAAAATCTCACAAAGAAGAGAAATCTAAATCCAGTAAGAATTGTTAGAAATGTTTGATATCAAATATTTTGCATAATATATATTGTTCTGTAACAAGTTGATATATTTTTCACAGTATCAAAAAAACAGTTTAAAAAAGAAGAAAAACCTCCTGAATCTATTAGTCCAAGTGACAGTCCTTTAAGTAGTGATGAAAAAAGTGATGAGTATGTATTTTATGTTTTAAATATTCATGATTTACATGATAACCAATTATAAAAAAAATAAGAAAGAAATAAAGTTGTATGTTAATTTAACTGAATATGTAACAATTGTGGATAAATAAATTAATTTTTCACTTGTAATTCCAAGTTTGAAAATAATTTTCAAATTTGGTATTATATATAAGAAATATAATGATTAGCTTTTGTAATGTTGACATCTGTAACTGTGATGCCTCCTGATTGTGCTTTGTCATTCATTTGCATATTGCTGTCCTTAAAGTGCTTCTATTACTGAAATACTGCAGCAAGGCTAATTGTTTCATTTCCATATAAACTGTTAAAGTAGTTTGATTGGAAATTAAGAAATTTTAATATCAAAACTTAAATTTTGTTACTATATTCTAAATTTAAAATTCTTATGTATATATAATGCCTTCAAAAGTTTTATCAACCAAAAATTTTATGAGAAAATATGATTTAATTATCCAGCAATATTTCACATAATATTAGTGAAAAACTGTAATTAGCATTTTAATATTTTTGAGTTATATAATTTAGTAGCTGAAAATTTGTTATTTTTATTTCTGCTAATTTTAATTTTAAAATGGTCTTTTCAGATTTTAAAATCAACATTTCAATTTAGAATATATTGCTTATTAGTGCTTTAATAAAACAGCATATAATTTGTTTAGTTTTAAATTTATTTAAAATTTGTTTTTATTATTAAATTATTTGTGATATGGTTTTTATATTATATAGGGATAATATTCCTCTGAAGCCTCCTGAACCCTCTGTAACTGAAGAAAGTGTTCAAACTCAGTCAACAAAAAAATTGAAAAAGGTACTCATATTTGTATTTTCGGTATAAAAATTGTTAAGGAATAATCAATTTAAATCATTAATTTGATTTTTTTTATAACTAATAGCATGTTAATTTTTAAAAAAAATATTTTTACAGTTAAGTTTCTTTTGTAGTAAATCAGTATTCTGGAATTCTGGGATCCTAACTGTTTTTATTGGCTTTGAAAATCTCAGAAACAGGATTAATATCATGAGAAATCTTAGGATTTTAATTATTTCTACATCAAAACTAAAAAGACTTATTAATGTTATTCTAGAATAGAGAGTGATTTTTACTCATAGTATAATAACTTTTACTGACATTTTAGTTGTTTCCGATGAGTAAAAATAGTATCATATAGATTTAACTTAAAAGTGCTAAAACATATAAAGAGGAGACACATCATTGAATAAAAAATTAGTAAAAATAAATGAAAATTTGCATGTGTCATTGTTATAATGTGCAAGTGCGTGTATGAACTCTTGGCATAACAATGAAATCTTATTTATTTTGTATTTGTTTAACTTTTTTAAAAACATGTTTGCCTAAATTGTGGCCCATTGTAATGCTACACTTGATCAAAGTGGCCCGTGAAAAAATTTAGGTTGGCCAGGCCTGACTTAAATAATAATTCTAAATCAGTTCGGCCTAGGACAAACTAGTTAAGCCTAAAGTATTTAGGCCAAACTAGATTGTCCTATGCTAAACTAGTTTGGCCGGTAACATATATAAAACTAATATTGTTTATATAAGGAATTTCAAATAAATTACAACATACGAGGATAGGGATGTGAGATGCTGGACTTGGGCTGCAGAAGGCAAGAAGAACAGTTTGATATATTATACTTTAATACTAATAGCCATATTTACATTTTAAAACATCTTGTGATTTTCAAAATGATACATTAGACAAAATTATGAATTTGGGAAACATTTGGCTATACTTCTAATAACTGAATATTGATTTTAAAAAAATTTGAAATGATTTAACTCTTTTCAAATCCTTCTTTAATTTTGAGCACCGGTATTAATGGATTAGTCTATAAATGAAAGCAAAGGGCAAAAAATGATGAATAATTGTAATTTAAATAATATCATTGATCATTTTTCAGTTTTTATTTTAGTGAGAATTTTGATTGTCATGATAAAAAAAATGCAGGTCAGAACGGATTACTATTCTCACTATTTTTAAATTAGTCACTTTTCTCAAGTATTTCGATGATATATCATTATTTCTCACTTTTTCTGCTGTTATGGGCAATGATATTTTTGTAATGCTAAGCTTTCACATGTTACTTCATTAATTTAATTAATGATTAATTAATGTTTAAATTGAGATGCCCATAACATCTTTCTCTTGTTGCGCTTTGGAAACTTTATGTTATTACATGACTTTTGAGGTCTTAAAACGTTAATTATGTAATATCATAAATTTGAGAGTGCACAGTCTAACGTCGGCAAAATTTTTTTTGAAGTACGGTATTTTAATTCCTTCTGAGCTGTTCACAATTAACCTTCACACCTTCAATTTGAGGGCAGGTGTTAAATTTTTTTTCAAGTTTTTGTTAATATTTTATAAAATTTTGAAAGTTTATTAAGGGACAATTTAATAAATTTATAGCTTTGTAACAGATTATAGTACACTTTATTGAACGTAATCATATTTAAGAACAACAATTTTTACATAATTTATTGTCTAGCTGACACATACAATAGTTCTAAGAATAAAAATGTGTATTATTTAGTTACATTTTAATATGAATGGTTTGTTTCACATTGAACTTAAATCATAAAAGGTAACAGAAACAGATTATTTGTAATACATGTTATCATTTTAAACTTTCTTTTACAAATTACATTATAAGAAAAGTAGTGTATTTCAGTTTTGTCTGAAAAAGGTACGACCTTGGATAATGGAGTTTTACTGTATTTTAATAAGTTCAGAAAAATTATTAAAGGACAATTTTAGACCAAAAAATCAATTTATACTTCAGTGACTAACAGCAGGATTTATTACTAAATAATAAATGAAAATATTGCTTTTTTTCCTATTTTTCAAAGCTAATTTTATGGTTATACTTTATAACAAGGAAAATTATTTTTATGTAATAAAATATTGTATTTTATACCTTGAAGTAGATTCCAAAAAATATTTTTCTAGTTATTAATTTTAATTGTAAAAAGTTTGATTTTACAAACTGATTGAAAATAATAAATCATTAAAAAGAAGAATTAATGAGAAAAAACATATTTAAAGAATGCATTAATAGAAATTTATTATAATTATATAATTTTGTTTGTTCATGATTTTTCATGTACACTTAATCTTTCAAAATAGGTACCCATAAGTATGGGTATCTGAGTAATATCTCTGTATCTGGTACCCAGATATACCCAGTACAAAAATGGGTAATGATATTCAGCACTAGACATCAGTTATATTTTTTTTATGTTGAGTACTTTTATTCATAAAACTTGAGAATGNACAGCTATTTAATTAATATATATGTTACCGGCCAAACCCAATTTCAGGCCAAACTAGTTTATCCTACGCGTGTCAGGATATACTAGTTTAGCCTAGGACAATCTAGTTTGGCCTAAATACTTTAGGCTTACCTAGTTTGTCCTAGGCCAAACTGATTTATGTACTACAAATAGGTGCCAGTGTAAAAAAATGATTTTGTGTAATTCGAAATGCCACCACAGTATACCCAGTGGTTAAATTGTACCTAGGTAACCCCAATGGCAGTGTTTCGGTTAGGTTGGTTTGGTTAGGTTAACTACATTTTTAGTAGACGTTTCCTTTTTTTTCTTTTGTTCAAGAACTATCGTGAATCAATAACTAGTGACGTTAAACAATGGGTGGCCTACCGGTGGCTCCCCTCTGGGAGGAGTCCGTCGGGAGCACGAACAGTCCGAAGTGTCGCCATTGAGGTTACCTAGGTACACTTAACCCACCCTGTAAAAATAAATAAAAGATTAAATATTTTATATGTTACACTAAGAAACACAAACAAGTTCATTTTTAATTTTAGTTTGACTTTAAAAGTTATTTTTATTATTTTGTTTGAATTTTTGAAAATGTTTTTGATTGTTAATTACCTTTAAAATTGCATGGCTTAATAAAAAAAATACAAACTGATAAGTACTAATTAGCTTATTTTTATTTTATAGTTTTGCACAAGTGTTGTGTCACTTCTAATCAATACTGTTTTTTATAATTAAGTAGACTATGTTTGAATAATTATTGTTCATCTAACTCAGTGTTTTTCAACCTTCTTGAATACGCGACCCCTTTACAAGTTAAAAAATTCTGGCGACCCCCCTAGGGCCATATTAAAACTATATCAGTGATCTTAAAAACTATGTATTTAATTTTCTTTCTGTTGAGACAAATTATTGTTGATTAAAATGAAAATTTCGGAAGAATTGACAATAATTTAACACACAAAGTATGAAACTTCCTTTAATTATAATATTAGGCACAGGAAACTGTTGACCTTTTTTCTTTTTCTTTTTTCTATTTTAGGATCTGAATTTTCAGCTTTTACTTTTCTACTTTTTATTTCCTTTTGCAAATCAGCTCAACACTTTTTCCGCTATCATTTTCTGGGGTGGGCCGTAATTCTCGCTGAAATTGTAGTTTTTTTAATGTAGGACCTACAAACACTTGTCTTTTTCTTCTACCCGCGACCCCCCGTGTAAGGCTTCGCGACCCCCTGGGGTCGCGACCCACAGGTTGAAAAACACTGATCTAACTGATTGCCTTTTAATTTTATTTTAACCATTAATATACTTAAATCAGGCCTGGCCAACCCGCGGCTCGTCACATTAAATTGTGTGGCCTGCTAAGTGATATATATCTATTAAAACTTTCGTTTTCCATTTTGTGTATACCAAAACAATTAAATAAATGAAAATTTGCATGTGTCATTGTTATAATGTGCAAGTGCGTGTATGAACTCTTGGCATAACAATGAAATCTTATTTATTTTGTATTTG